AAAGCTGAATGCTTGCCCTGTAGAAAAGCGATTTGGAGATAGCATTCGCCGAGAGAAAGAGCGTCCAGTTATTTATGCTTTGGTCTTGAACGATGGCGATTTTCCATTTAAACATGGAGATGATCAATGGAAGTTATGTAAAGTTGGTTTTACTCATCGCAATCGAGTGGAGCAAGTAAAAAAACAAATTGAATCCAAGTACAAAGAATCTCAAGGATCTGACGCAAAAGCATCAGTACTATTTTCATCGCCAATCGGGGCAGTCAATACCACTCCGTTTCACAAAACAAAAAGACGAATTCAAAAGAAAGTTGGTAAACCAGTGCGCAAAGAGAAGGCAAAAGAGATCGGTCTGCCTGTTCCTACAGAGTGGGTTTTGACAACCCAAAGTCACATCGACAAGATTTCACGGAGGATTGAAGATAGGAGACGTAGATATGGGTACGGAGAGGAGATTGATATTTTCTCAGCCAAGCTGCCCCCTGATGAGAAGTTGAACGCCGCACCTGATCCACCAAAACAATACAAAAAGGATTGGTGTGAATGAGAAATACGAACTCCAACACTGTCTGCAAAGTTTGGAAAAATGACTATAGTTTCTGTAAATAAGCACTTTTAAAAGTTTGGAAAAATGCACTGGACCCCACAGTTTCCGGTAGAATGCATCGGTGTCTAGCCGATGTTGTTTATACAACAAGTAGCTATATTCCTTTAACAAGTTTGATATCTATTTCAGAATTTTTGATTTAGTTCTTAGACCTTGAATCCCTAACATTTTAAAATCAATCATAGACAAATATGTGATGAAGAAATTTGTCATTCGAAATTTTGTAAGCAATCATTTATTTTTTAAGCTTAAAAGCTTTAGTTTCAGTAGGTTACTTGTAGCATGTTTCAGTGTCCAACAAGAAATTTCCTCTTTTCTAAAACCGATAGAGTCACAACTCCCTTAATTAACGCTATTATAGCTTCATTTTCTTTGTTGATACAAAAAGAAGAAGACAGGTGAATTGCTGTTTTTGAATTTTTGATGTAACGCAGAAATGGATTTCGTAACGAAGTTCGCATGGCCGGTACCAACTTGAAAACTTGTGTACAAAAAATTATAAGAGATTTAGCAACAGTTTCGTATGTTTATATTGGGTATTATTATTGTTGCTAGTAATTTTCACATGGTTGAAATTAAGGAAACAAAATAAACAAAAAAACCCAAAAGATTTCACTATCAAATTGAGATGTTTTTATCATTGCCAATAGTCTACGAAAATAGTTCTATAGAAAGATCTATACCCCGATAAATATATTATGCTGYCTTTTCCTTTCGTTTTCAATTTAAGCACATAGATACATAGCAAAACAAATGTTTTTAATATACACTCGTTTGCAAGAAAAAAAAATTGTGGATATCGTACAGAACCTTCATTGATGTCTGTTGTGTTCAAAATTCAAAAAAACTCATTTTTTTATTCTATTGCACTGTCAGAACTACTAGAATATTAATGATAATGCGCGCTTCTAGGAAATTTAGTTTTTATGTTTTGGGGAAATATTTCAAGAGATATTTGAATTTTTAATATAATGCAGGATTGCAGTTCGTAACGACGTTCGCGAGGCTGGTACGAACTTGGAAACTTGTGATTATCCTTCATAAACCTTGTGGTCAACGTTTTGTGAAATCCACTGTTAACCAATCAGACAATCAAGAGAACTACTGAAATCCTTTCTTTCTGATTGGTCAAGCTTCGTGTTTACAATACCATGGAAAGAAAGCTTCCCGGACTGTAAATAGGTCACAATTCTATGCTATAACACTGTATGATTAGTTTTAATCTTTTGAAATGTCGAGTTCAGAAGGATCCTCCGATGAAAGCGCCTCCGATGAAAGCGAACACTGTATGATTAGTTTTAATCTTTTGAAATGTCGAGTTCAGAAGGATCCTCCGATGAAAGCGCCTCCGATGAAAGCGGATCTCTAGGGGTTGACAACACTGAGTCCTTCGTTGAAAGCATAACTAACGGGGTTGACAACCTTGCTATAGCCAGATCCACCGATAAAAGCGCCTCCGATGAAAGCGGAACTCCAGGGTTTGACAACCCGGAGAACCATCTTACTGTCGTGGACCAGTTTTTAAACAACAACAAAGACGAGTTTTTAAAATGGTTTTGGGCAGGAAGTAATGGAAACGACTTGATATTAAAGCTGATTNTTGACAACCCAAAGTCACATCGACAAGATTTCACGGAGGATTGAAGATAGGAGACGTAGATATGGGTACGGAGAGGAGATTGATATTTTCTCAGCCAAGCTGCCCCCTGATGAGAAGTTGAACGCCGCACCTGATCCACCAAAACAATACAAAAAGGATTGGTGTGAATGAGAAACACGAAAAAACTCCAACACTGTCTGCAAAGTTTGGAAAAATGACTCTAGTTTCTGTAAATAAGCACTTTTCAAAGTTTGGAAAAATGCACTAGAGCCCACATTGTCTAGCCGATAGTAGCTATATTCACTGGAAAAAATCGGCTCACTTTAAAAGGTTATAAATTTGATGTAAATATTATGTAAGTCTCCAAAATGATGTAAATTTGATGCTTAAATTTGATGTAAATTTACATCAAATTTACAGCATTTTGGACACTTACATGATATTTACATCCTATTTACATCCTTTAAAGAGCGCGATTTTTTTCAGTGATTCCTTTAACAAGTTTGATATTGCTTTCAGAATTTTAGATTTAGTTCTTAGACATTGAATGCCTAACATTTTAAAATCAATCAGAGGCAAATATGTAATGAAGAAATTTTTCATTCGAAATTTTGTAAGCAATCGTTTAGTTTAAGCATAGTTAGTAGTGTTAAGGCTGATTTACACGGAACGATTTGTCGCGCGCGACTTGTAGTATACGACTTTCCTACTGCAAGTCGTAGGATTTTAAGCAGTGGTTCAAAATCCTACTACAAGTCGTAGGTTGCGTACGACTGTTGTGGACAAGTCGTAGGGGCATTTACACTGCGCGATTCGAGTCGTAGACTACAAATCGCACCAGACAATCGTGCCGTGTAAATCAGCCTTTAAGGACTCGCTGTTTTGGAATTTTTAATGTAATGCAGGATTGCAGCTCCTAACAAAGTTCGTAAGGTTGGTACCAACTTGGAAACTTGTGAACAAGCTTCATAAACCCAATGGTCAACCAGGCATTTCAAGTGGGCTCCTCACCATCCTTGTTTTTCATTCCATTCCAGTCTAGATTTTACAATTTGATCAGCAGCAATCCGTAAATATGCTTGAGGTCACTATATGGCAGACAGGCGTTGTGAAACTTCTAAAATGGCGACTAGTAAAGAAGCGTCCGATCAAAGCGACTTATCTCAAGATATGAGCAAATGTCAAATAAGCAGTTTTTTTGGAGAAAAAAAAGATGAAGACCAGTTTCTAGAGTGGTTTTGGACAAAAAGTAACGGGAACAGCTTGATAAAAAAGCTGAATGCTTATTCAGTACAAAATAAATTAGAAGATCGCATTCGCCGAGAGAAAGAGAGCCCTACTATTTATGGTTTGGTCTTAAACGATGGCGATTTTCCATTTAAAGATGGAAATGATCAATGGAAGTTGTGTAAAGTTGGTTTCACTCACTGCACGACCAAAAAAGGTGAAAACAATCGAATGGAGCAAGTTAAGCAAAAAATTAAAAAGACGTATCAGTTTAAAGAACCTGACGATCCTGACTCAAGAGCATCAGTACTATTTGTATTACCAATCGGGGCAGTTGATACCACCCCATTTATCGGGACAGAAGAACGAATACGAATGAAAGTTGGTAAACCAGTGCACAAAGATGTGGCAAAACTAAACAAACTGCCTTATCATACAGAGTGGGTTTTAACAACTCAAAAACGCATCGATGATATTATAAAAAAGAAAGACGAAAAGGCTGAAGAGAATAAGGGAAGTGATGTCATTGACATTTTCAAAGACTTCGAGGATGCACCCAGTCCACCGGCAAAATATAAAGCCATTTGGTGTGAGGCTGACAAAGTCCAGACAAAAAGCAAGACTTAGAGTTAGAGTTTCAATAAGTGACTTTTATAATTTGTCCGTGTCTATAACAATAACTTTCTGATGTCGTAACACTATTAGCTCTAAGTCACAATTCTCTTAAGTCTGATAAGCGATAAGCTTCGTTTTTATGTGAGGACAAAAAAAAAAGACATAAATTTAGTTGTTGCCATATAAATTCATGGCACTCCGTGATACACAATTCGTGGAAATTATAATAGATTTAGCCACAGTTTGATTTGTTTATATTGAGTATTATTACTTTAACTAGTAATTTTCAGATGCGAATATATAGTTTTAGAGTTCAGCACAATTATTTTATAAAATAAGCATTGTAGTWAGTGTTACTCTCAGGTAAAGCACTATTTCATGTACAACTTTGAATAAATTGATTCAAATAAARCGGCTTTGGGGGTTTTCATAAGACCCAAAGCCATTAAACTCCACAATATGGACTGTTAGTTCACCAATTCCCTGCCTATACAATAAACAAGCTCTAGTTAAAGCACAGCCCGAATATCAGCCCCACCGATAGTATCATTGCGATATAAAACTCAACAATTTTAACCAATAAATTATCCACATCGTTAAATATAGCCTGAAAAATCTCCAACTGAGCTTATAGAAAGAATTTTGGTGTCTGAAAAATATGCAAATAAACTCTTAAACATCCTTGACGTGCACGGCAGGAAATAAAAGTATTACTGAACTATTTCACAGTTTTGAAATAAAAGATGTCCCCAACAGACTAGACCTGCGCCTAATATGTGTAGGTATTAAAACYCTTTAATGCCGGCAATTTATTTTTGATTTAAGGTTGTTTTTGAGACTGATATTCAAAATGTTAAATGTATCCCATATAAGGAGTTGTCAATCAAACTATTGTAGATTCACATTCCTCTGAGTTTGTTTACTTCAGCGACGCCTGGCGAATTTGAGACGGCTCGCTAAATTTTCCAGCACTCGCTCTCAAATTTGCCATAAAACCGTTTTTAAGTGATTTTTTGAGTTACCAATCTTATTCAAACCATGGCAATGTTTTTTCCCAATTTTTAGGGTATTGGTGAATATGTTAACATGCGTACTGGAATGCCGTGTCATCTTCACCCTACCAGCGCTCTCTTCGGCATGGGACACACTCCAGATTACATCGTTTATCATGAACTTGTCATGACGTCCAAGGTTTGTGGTCATTTGCAAGCAAACTGTGTTTCTTTCTCATTTTCTTCATAATTTCTTTTTCTTGCTTCCTGTTTTACTCTGTGTTCTGTATCTGAATCCTTCCTTCTTTCTCTTCCTTTTCCTTTGTTCATTTGTTTTCCTCTCTCTAGCTTGTTTCCTTCTTTTCTTTTATGCCCTCATTCGAAATTTTCCTTTCTTTCTCCCTTACGATCTTGGTCTGTCGTCCTTCTCCTTCATCCCTTCTCTTCCTTCTCTTCCTTCTTCTTTTCTTCCTTCCCTTCCCTTCCTTTATCCTGCCTCCCCTTCCTCCCTCTTTCGTCTCTTGCTTACCATATCCTTCCTCCCTAAATCCTTCCAATCCTCTTCCTTTCTTCTTCACCTATACTTTTCCTCTCCCATTTTTTTCTTTCTATTTCTCATTATTTCCTCTGTTGCTTCCTGAATTCGGTAGATCGTTCCTTTCTTCGACTTTCTATCCTCATGTATTCAAATGGTTTACCTTTCCAATTTCTCTTCTGTCTGGAAGAAGGTAAACCAAAAGAGTAACTGTTTTTGTATTCGTCGTTTCCAGGAATACATGCAGTGCGTAACTGCAGTCGATGGTAATTGGTTGGCCGAACTTGGTCCCATGTTTTACTCCATTAAAGAGTCAACACGATCAAGAGCGGTATGTGTTATTTTCACTTGTGAAAATTTACTTAACTTTACGTAATGGAAAAATATAGGTGTTTTGTAGATAATTATAAATTAAAAGGATTTAGTATAACTTTCTCAGCCAAAACCGGGAAAAGGAAATGTTACGCGCGTCAACAAGGAAAAGAACGGGAAATTTATTGCGGAAAATCTGCATCGGGTTGGCTGGATTTCATCACGAAATTCCAAGAAATTTCGAACAAATGAAGTGTATCTTATAATTTTTCTTATCGTTTAGTCAAATATGAATAATTAAGGGAATTAAGGAAAATGTGTGTTAAAATAGCCACAAGGGTCATTCTTCTTTTTTGTGAATGGTACACAGGAAAATCGTAAACGCGCGAAAGACGAGATGACAGCCATGGAAGAAGAGATGGCACAAGCAAGTCAACAGATAAAAGCGAGAGAAGAAGACAAACTAAATAAGCTAACAGGCTCCACGAGGTACATTTTATTTTACTCTTTGTGTATTCATATTCCATACATAGCATTAACAGTTGCAGTAAATGAAGTCTTGCAAAAGTATGGTTTTGACATTACACTGCATGAAAATTTCCCGACAACTTGCAATGTTTTTTGGTCTAATTAAGATGGCAGCCAGAATCAAGATGTTGATCATTTTAAATGAGAAATTANGATCGTTCCTTTCTTCGACTTTCTATCCTAAATCCTCCCAATCCTCTTCCTTTCTTCTTCACCTATGCTTTTCCTCTCCCATTTTTTTCTTTCTATTTCTCATTATTTCCTCTGTTGCTTCATAAATTTGGTGGATCGTTCCTTTCTTCGACTTTCTATCCTAAATCCTCCCAATCCTCTTCCTTTCTTCTTCACCTATACTTTTCCTTTCCCATTTTTTTTCTTTCTATTTCTCATTATTTCCTCTGTTACTTCCTGAATTCGGTGGATCGTTCCTTTCTTCGACTTTCTATCCTCATGTATTCAAATGGTTTACCTTTCCAATTTCTCTTCTTTCTGGAAGAAGGTAAACAAAAAGAGTAACTGTTCTTGTATTCGTCGTTTCCAGGAATATATGCAGTGTGTAACTGCAGTCGATGGTAATTGGTTGGCAGAACTTGGTCCCATGTTTTACTCCATTAAAGAATCAACACGCTCAAGAGCGGTAAGACAACAACAGTTGCCCAATAAGATAAATTTTAACACCGTTAAAAAGTAGGTGAAAAGGAACTTACTGACATTTCGGGCGTTAGTTCTTCGTCGGTATAAAGTCCAACTTCAAGTTAAGCTTTAAGTTATCCACTTTATAGATTTTAGTATGGATTTGATTCGCTAGATATAGAGGATATTACATGGGCGCGCGGAGAAACGGATCTTATCTTCGAGTGTTGAAGAGATCTTCAACGCGAGAAGATGCAATTCGTATCTCCAAGAGTCCATGTGATATTCTGTTTATCATATAATTATCAATGAAAGCAAATTATGTTTTAAAATTACTTTTTATTACCCCCAATATATAGAGATATCACGAATATGTTATTTTCACTAGTAAAAATTTACTTAACTTTACGTAATGGAAAAATATAGGTGTTTTATAGATAATTATATATCAAAAGGATTTTCCGATGGATATAGATATTCACCCTTCGTATAATCGGTTTAAAATATTGTAGAACTCTCTGTTACCGAATTCTAAGCGCACGCATTTAGTATAACTTTCTCAGCCAAAGCCGGGAAAAGGAAATCTTACGCGCGTCAAAAAGGAAAAGAGCGGGAAATTGATTGCGGAAAATTTGCATCAGGGTGGCGGGATTTCATCCCGAAATTCCAAGAAATTTGTGTATTATTTCTTGTCGTTTAGTCAAAGATGAATAAGTAAGGGAATTAAGGAAAATATGTGTTAAAATAGCAACAAGGGTCATTCTTCTTTTTTGTGAATGTTACACAGGAAAATCGTAAACGCGCGAAAGACGAGATGACAGCCATGGAAGAAGAGATGGCACAAGCAAGCCAACAGATAAAAGCGAGAGAAGAAGACCAACTAAATAAGCTAACAGGCTCCACGAGGTACATTTTATTTTACTCTTTGTGTATTCATATTCCATACATAGCATTAACAGTTGCAGTAAATGAAGTCTTGCAAAAGTATGGTTTTGACATTACACTGCGTGAAAATTTCCCGACAACTTGCAATGTTTTTTGGTCTAATTAAGATGGCAGCCAGAATCAAGATGTTGATCATTTTAAATGAGAAATTACGCATCCTCTAGTAGCGTACGTGACTCGAAAATTGCAAGAAAAGTTGCGGGAAAGGTGTTAAAAGGCGTTTCAATTGCAAGTTGCTGTAATGTTTTGTGAAAAGTAGGCCTGTGTCCTACTTAGTTCAATACAACGCACAACAATAAAGTCGCGACAACCCCTGTTAAGGCCGAATTAGCATGCAACCTGCGTAAGTCATCCTCACAACATGGCTACAACTGTCGTAGGGATTTCAAAATTGCTTAATAGTCCCACGACAGTTGTAGCCATGTTGTAAGGATGACGTACGCAGGTTGCATGCGATGGTTGCACTGGGAAAAAATCGCGCGCTTTATAAAGGTTTTAAATTTGATGTAAATGTGATGTAAGAGTCCAAAATTCTGTAAATTTGATGCAAATGATTTCCATTAAATTTACAGAATTTTGGACACTTACATCATATTCACATCAAATTTACAACCGATTTTTTCCAGTTTTTGTAGGTAAATGCTGTTTCGTCTAATTCCCTTTACACAGCGAATTTGTTTAGCAGCTTGTGTAATGGYTTTGGGTTGTTCAAAGCCCGATTAGCGTTAATCCAAGGCTAACTCCATAGGTTTTCTAAGAGTTAACCCAGGATCTAACTAATCGGGCTTTGAACAACTCGGCCCAGGTCGCTTTGAAAATTTGCACAGTGAAACAGTACTTTAGTGTGACAGCCCCTTTAGATGCTAATTTATTGCCATGACACTGTTCTCCATACTTTTCTCATCAAAGATTTCTTGTTTTCTCTAACAGGACACATATTGTAACACCTGGAAGACGAACTCCCGCAACACCTAAACGAACACCTCAACGCTTTGGTCTATAATAATAATATCAATGCAGTACTAGTATAACTTGACGAGAACTTGTCAATATAAACGCAGACATAAGCGGGTTAACGCCTCACTAGTAATAGTGAWTGTGCTGAGGCGAAGTTGGCAAGTTTTTGTTCAAGTTTGGCATCGATGTTTCACTTTTTCGTGTTTCACTTTGGGTGTTTTTTCGCTAGCAGCTTGTCACACCATAACAGGCAAACAGCTGAAAACAGGCGTTGAAACAAAAACAAAACACAAAACGTTTGACTCTGACGCTCGACTTGAAAAGCAGTAATGTTTGGYAATGCATTGAGCGTTGTTGTCTCGTATTTCTTTACAGTCGCATACCGAACAGGAAAATCGTTAAACGGTYGTTTAATAACATTTAATGTTGGAGGTTGCGAAGTAGTATGAAACATTTTAAGATTATCTTTCTCATTTTATTTCCTTTCGTCCTATTTAATCATTGTGAAAAAATGAATACTTTGTGTATAGAATTTCTGAAATGTGGCTCTTCAACGAATGTACATAAGTAAAAGGTTATTATTAATAAATATTATTAATTCCAATATTAATTGTCATTTGTTCATGAAAATATTCGATACTTTATTGTCGGGGTGTGGCTGCACGTGGTTCCTAGGCATTTCATTGACGTCACAACAACAAACCGCTGACCAATCACAATGAGCCTCATTATTTGTACTTAAACAACTCACTTAGTTTGACACCCTCTCTTTGCCATCGCACCTCGCTGCAGACGCACCGCCCGACCTTCCCAGCTAACGGTATGTATTGTGGGACGTTACAACATGATTAACGTAACGTAGATCCTTACGGTCACATACGGACTATATGCGTAAGGCCCAAATTAAACGCAGCATGTATCTCGCGTGTCGAAGTCAATTTAAATAAGAAGAAAATACGTAATTTGCATTCGACGTTCGAATTAAAAGACGTATGGCACGTTTTCCGTAACTTCGCGTTTTCCGTCATGCGCGTTTCCCGTAACGGCGGGTTTTTCCCTAACGGCGCGATTTCCATAACGCGCGTTTTCTGTAAGTAACGTTTCAGGCCGATGAATACCCTATAAGTAATTTGCATTAGGGTTAGCGCAAGGGTTTGGGGTTAACATTATAGTTGGGGTTAGCGTTGCAGTTCACTGGTAGAGTAATTTACATTAGGGTTGGTGCTACGGTTTGGGGTTAACATTAGGGTTAAACGTACCTTAGTTTGAAGTTGCTGGTAGAGTAAATTTCATTAGGGTTAGTGCTAGGGTTTGGGGTTAACTTTATGTTAGGCTTAGCTTACAGTTCACTGGTAGAGTAATTTACATTAGGGCTAGTGTTAGGGTTTGGGGTTAGCTTAGTCGTACTTACAGATGGTATAATGTGGTTAACGTATAGAGCGAGATTAGCGCGCGGGACACCTACGGGATACACGGGATACTAGTTCCCAGTCTTTTATCACGTGACCAGGTGTCTCGTGCAACATGTGCTAAAAGCAAAACATGGAGGAAAGTGCTGAAAAAATGCTTTATTTTACACACTTTAAAGCTAGAAGAAAGCTAAAAAACACTCGAAGAGTGTATTTAAATGTTTAATGGACATTTTGAGCCATAAAAAAGGTAAGAAAGTCGAAAGAATTCCATGTTATGAAGTAAATATTAATTGTAATGGCGCGAGATTTGAATGTCTTGTTGTTATGCTGCTAGTAACTTAATGTCTGAAAAGTCAAGCGTATGACTGCCTTTTAGTCGTGTTATTAGAATTTTCTGTTCAATAGTACCAAATCTAGTGTGTATGCAGTCGATCGATCAGTAGTTTGTCATCTGTAGTTTTWAGTGAAAGAGAAAYAGGAATCCTCCTGATTCGTAAACATGTATTCAACCATCTTGAACAACAGCGATACTGCTCGAAAACTTTTTAATTCATCCGTTATTGATGTACCTGATACCTTATGTTTTGCACGAAACAATCATTGTAATATTTCATTT